CCACACCCAGTACTGGGACTAGACTGTAGTCACCAATGTGTATCTTAAGTACAAGCACAAGAATGGCCCACATTAGGGGTTCAAAAAGTTTCCTGAATTTAACTGGATTTTGTTCTTCAGTTAATTATGACTGCTTGGCAAACTGGAATACAAACAAAACTGGAAGGAAAAAAAAAAACCTCTCCCATAAATACTGAATTATTTCAGAATAAGTTCCTTCCTTGTTGCTACTATCACAGCACTACGTTATTGTACACTCACTAACAGTTTCCATAATATAACCTTTATTTATTTCTTAAAAAGCATTTTATGAAATAAGGATTGATGGATCCTGGTCATCCCTTTCAAACCACAAAAAAAAAACACCTCAAAACTATTTTTAAAATTGTCTGGTTTGTGGGTCAAAAGTGAGGACTAGGTTGCTGGGAAGGTGCAGGGGAGGAGCTGATGAGGGAGTCATACCATAATTACTGATTTTCACTGTATATCCTGTGGTGATGGGAGCAACCATGGCAGCTGGTTTTTCATTGTCATGAAGTTCTGCTTTGCTCTGTGACTTCTGCTGCATCTTGTTCTTGATTTCTGTCTCAATCTTGGATTTTTCAGCTGTAAGGGCATCTCGTATTCTTTTTCTAGTGGTCTTTTCCAGCAGCACCTTTACTTCTTCTAGATCTTTCTGTAGCTATAAAAGATAAGTTAACTCCCATAAATAATAATCCAATATTGTGCCCATGGGGTCAACTTCAATGTAAAGAATTAAGAGGTTCATTTAAATTTTCCAGGGTGGGTAGCAGCTAGAAAGCCTTCCTTCTTTATAACCCAAACTTTCTTTTTTACAAGAAAAGCTTAATCTTGAAATGGCAACAGGTAACAGCTTTGTTTTACATTTTACTTACAAGACACTGAGTATAAAGAAATCTAAAGGTCATGATTTACTTTATAACTTTCTAGTACTATTCATCTGATAAGATGAGCAGAGTGAAGCGCTGTAGCAACTCTACAGAGGTGACCCTCTGCTTCCTATTACCATGCGTCACTGATGTCCCTATCCCAAACACCCCAAAAGTACACATAAAAGGTTGAATTTTTTAAGACAAAAACTTCTGCTTTTAAGAAAAGTCCTTGTTCTAATGCTCTGATCTATCTTATAGTTAGAAATCTGGAACTGACTGAAACTCTTGGGAGGGGTTGGTGGGTAGAAGTCTGGGCAAACAATCCAAAAATGCAACACCCAATCACTGAAAAATCCACTTGCTCTTTTCTTCTCAGCCCAGTGCATCATCCACTACCAGTTTCTTATATTTCTATCCTCTAAAAATAGAGCCAAAATTTTATACAGTTTAAGAGTTAAAAGAGATTGTTAAAAAAATGAACTAAACAGATTTTCCCCTTATCCTCTGATATATTGAAAATACAGTAAGATCTTTACGAACTGATCCACTTTTCTTGATTTTACATCAGTCTACACATGTGCATACACATGTGTATATACTAACAATTTGACAAGAAGAATCTTACACCATAGCTTGAGATCACATAATAGGCAGAACATAAAATTTCTTGAAATGCTTGGTAATTGACTATGTGTGAATTACAGTGTGAAAGTCATGGTTCTTCAGTCTTAAAGAATGCAACAACAGAAAAAGCAATGCTTTAACCCCATGTCTTATTACCTCATTATCAGATGCCCTTGTTTTACCTATTTGTAATCAATATGGTATTAAAAAAATCCTACTTTACCCAGTCCTCTGTTGACCCTTTGTTCCTCTTCCAGAAGTCTATTAAAAACAAGCAAACAATAGCCCTCCCTGGTGGCGCAGTGGGTTAAAGCACTGCACTGGGAAGCTTAAGCCACTTCCGCATGAGTTCGATCCCCGCCTGCCCCGGTGGTGGTGACCACATGGCCATGGCAGACCTCTCCTGACCCACCCACTGCTCCCCTTAGCAGTGTACTTCGTAGATCTGCCTGCTCTGCTCCCCTCTCTGTCTCTGGTGAATCCTCTCACCCTCTGCATCTCTGGCCTGTACCCCAGTTCTGTATGAGTAAATAAATCTTAAAAAAAAAAAAAACAAAAAACAAGCAAACAACAAAAAAAAATGCAAATTCATCTTTTGATGAGTACACAATCAAGATGCTTGGATTCTTGTTATGTTTTCAAAAATTCACATTGATTCTAAAACCAATGTAATTTAAATAAAAACAAATGTAAAATGAGTATTTATTTCCAGATTATGTAGTTAGAAAAAAAATCAAACAGGAAATGTATCAACAATAAGTTTTGCTTCTTGACATAGTAATCATTTTTCTAAGAGATGCAGAAATGATTGCACAATGGCTGAATTCCCAGGTCCTCTCTATTAGCAGTTTTGTCTCTATAGTACAAGATTAAAGTATCAACTATAAGTCTGAAGAAACTTAGAAGGCTGTTTGAAGTAGTTTCTCAGTTGTTCTTTGCAAACTTGCAATGTTGTCCACAGCCTTTAAACTTCTAATTTATTTCCAAATTTTTCACTAGGAGGCATTAAAAACAGTAGTTCAAAACAGGCAAGTAACTTGAACCGACATTTCTCTAAAGATTCGTGTAGAAATAGCAAGTCTGAAAAGATCCTCAATATCATTAGTAATTAATGACATGCACATGGAATCCACAATGCCCTACTACACGCCCACTGGAATAGCTAATAACAAAACATAAATCAGAAAGTGTGAAGTTTTGTTGAGATGTGAAGAAATTGGAATCTTCATACTTGATTTGTGGAAGAGCAAAATAATGGTGCATGGAGTCACTGTGAAAGGAGTTTGGCCATTTTCTAAGTTAACCTTAAGACCCTGCAATACCACTCCTATGATATCCTCAGAGAACTGAAAACTTACATCCACATAACAAGTTGTATACAATAGTTCACAGCCAAAAAGTGGAAATAATCCAAATGTCCATCAATTGATGCATAAAAAAAAATGTGATATGAATAAAATGGAGTATCATTCACATGCAAACATTCTCATAGATGAACTTGAGAACATTATGCTAAGTGAAAGAAGCCAAAGAGCAAAGGGTTATATAGACTCCATTTATATGAAATGTCCAGAACAAGCAAATCTATAGACAGAAGTGAGCACCATGGGCTCCAGGGAGGGGGAGGGGAGTGCTTAATGGGCATCAAGGGATGATGAAAATGTTCTATGTGATTGGGCTGCTTAACACTATGAATCTACTAACAAGCACTGATACATACACTTCAAATGAACTTTTTTTTTAATTTTAATCTCAAATATGTATTTTTACAAGTAACTCGAAAGTCCTTTACTTTGAAGAGGATTAAGGTGATCTCAGTCTGCTCAGGGCATGTGGCACCACAGGGCCTATCCTTAGGCTTCATCTATGTGACAAGTTACCCAGAACACTTACCCACTGTCCTTCACTTGAAGCAGATTCCTAATGTCTAATGTGAGATTTCCCATTCTGTTCATATTAAGGGGAGAAATGACCAGAAAACGAATCTAGTTAAGACCTCAATACTGTAAGCAGCATCACGTCTGACCTCCTACTTAAACCAGTGTGCAGGGCAAGTATTAGTCTCCTCTCCAAAAAATTCAGGCCCCCATGTTCATGAGCTTAATAAAGGAAAAGACTATTTCCTACCTCTAATTGCATTTTTCCCCCCAGAACGCATGTAGCAGATTACTGACTGCCAAGTTCAACTTTAGAACTCTAACTTGGTCTTTGTAAGCCTAGCGATGAATGCTACTACTAACCTAACACAGGCCCTGCTATGTGTAAAGAAAACAGCCCTGGGTCCAGGGGCTGCGCGCCTTCCACTCCACCGGCGACGAGACTGTTAGTTCAAGTAATGGAGCCACGCGCCCTAGGGTTGGGACGAGCGGACCGGAAGGGGCGGAAAGACCCGCGAAGGTGACCGGCCCCACCTGCAAGCCCAGCACCGATGGATCCTAACACACCGGCGGGCCGGGCAGGGCAGCGGAGGGCGATCAGCAACTTTACCCCGGGGCGCAGGCCGCCGGGGCCGGAGGAGCAGCGGGGACCCCGCAGGTGGGCAGGTGGGAGGCCGGGGGAAGCGCGAGAGCAGAGACACAGGAAGGAGCCCCGGGAGGCGGCCACCGCGGATCAACTGGGCACCGGACACCCGGCGGTGGGCAAGAGTGGCCCGCGCCCGGGCCGGAGGGGCCGGCGGGCCGATCGAGGAAGGTGAGGCTGGCACCCTTACCTCTTCCAAGGCTGAGGCCATGGTCGGGTCGAATCCGGCAAGGCCCGAGCGGCAGCCGCGCAGTGACTAGAACAGGAAACGCCGCCGCGAACGCGCCCACCGCCGGCGCGGACCGCCCCGCCACCCGTGGCAGTGCCCGCAACCCGCGCCTACAGCCGACCCTGCGCCAGATCGCGGCCCGCCTTCCGCACGCGGCGCCTCTGGAACCTTCGCGATTTCGTCGCCGCCCGCCGTGCTCAGCCCCGCCCCCGAGCCTGGCCCGCCCCGTCCGCCCGGTCTCCTAGCAACGCCCAACTCTCGCGAGCAAACCGGCGGTTCCGGGCGAGTAACGCCTCATCCTTCCCGCCCCGGCAAGTGTGTTCATTATATTTTGACCTCGTCGGCTCCGGTTGCCCAGTCGTGCTCGGACCCCTAGTACTCGCTTTCCTAACCCAACCCCGGAAATAACGTTCAGATATTCGGGGGTTCAAACTGGCTGCTTCCGGTCCCCACTAGGTCACCCAACCTCGAAGCAGCCATCTTTCGTAGAGCTAGTGTAGACCCTGCTAGAAAAGAGGGGTGGCCCTATAAAACGAAGGAAAGTGTGGAGGACTCCTCAGGGGACAGTTTGATTTTAGTGGCCCCGGCGCGCTGGGGACGACACCACGGTTTAGCAGGACTTGTTGGTGTCATCTAGGACCGCAGTAGGAAGTGGGGCTGCGTTGAAGAAGCCCTGTCACATCGCCCAAATACAGACTGGGCGCTACAAACACTGGCAGTTGCAGTCGCGCCTTCCTCTAGTGTGCTGTTGAATTACTTCCCTCGTGCCTTCACCCGCCTCATCGAAGGTTCCGCTACTCTCCAGTTCTTGCCTAGTTTTGCCTTTTAGTAACCCTTAGGGGATGGAGGCGGAGTTTTCCTGCGACTGCCTTCAGCAATTCACCCCAGTGTCCCGAGTCACTGAGCCCGCTTTTCGGTTATTTGAGTAGCAGTTTCAAAACGCCTCCAAGGTCCGGTTCTGCACATAAATAGTATGTCAGCCGTGGATATGTCAAATAGCCTGCACTGGGCTTTCTATATGAAACAAGGTAGTATTAGAATCAGTGAGTCAGAAAGGGCGAGAGCGCCCAGACAAATTAGCCTGAGCATTAATTGTACTACAGGCGAATCGGAAATACAGTAGAAAGTAGACATGTTACAACATACATCAAGAGAAGGAAGCTGGACGTAGAGGAGTACATGTTTGGTTCTATTTAAATTAAGCCTGGAAACAAAATACTTGTGTTTAAAAGAAAAAAAAAAAGCTACTTTGGGTGTGAAAGACAATGACAGAAAGGAGCCACAAGGTGGCTTGTGAGGTTCAGATAATGCTCTATGCCTTAAATTGAATGCATGTGACTGGTGTGTTCACTTTATGGAATAAATTAAGCTATACATATTTGTATAGTTTCTTTGTAATGTTATATGTTGTGGGGAGAAATCTGTTTAAACGGGAAGGGGGGGAAGAATTCATCAGAGACTGAGTAGAGACTAGAAAACGCAGATTTGTTGAAATACACTGCTGAGGGGAGCAACGGGGGTAGGTGTTAGAAGTCTGCGCAGGGAGAAGGTTTGAGGATCCCTCTTACACTGTTTTTGATGGCTTCCTAGCCAGTTTGCCCCAGTTACCTGCTGGGATATCTGGTCCCAGGCGATGGCCTTTGGCACAGCCATGTTCTAGCCCTGCTCCTGCATTCCTGGAACTGAGCTGGTTTTTCTGGTCATGATGGTTAGTTTTATGGCCTTGCCCTTAAGGCAGATTTGTCCATTCCCTTATCCCTTCTAGTCTCCCAAACCTGCCTGCTGGTCAAGGACTAGGGGTTTTAACCTAATTATATCATTCCCCAATATTATACTTAAAAGTTATACCTAAGTAGATCCGGGAAGGAACTTTCCTGACACGGGAGAAATACTACAACTATTCATACAATAGTCATCATCTATAGAAGGGACTTCTAAGATCTGTACATTTTATTGTATGGAAATTATATCATATAGATATATTTTAAAGATTTATTTATGCATACAGAAATGGGGTATAAGCCAGAGGTGCAGGGGGGTGAAAGGATTCACCAGAGACAGAGTGGGGAGCAGAACAGGCAGATCTACTGAAACACACTGCTGAAGGGAGCAGTGGTCAGGTCAGGAGAGGTCGGCAATGCCATGTGGATCACCTCCAGGCCCTCCAGGCCCAGGATCGAACTTTCACTGAAGTGGTTGCAGCTCGCTTGCAGAACTGTGTCCTAACCCGTTACACCACCAGGGAGGGGCCACCTTAGATATTTTTAAAATGTCCCACCAATAACCTGAAGTCATGTAGCACATAAGTAGGAAGAATTATCTCATTGCTCTGGATGAAAGCTCAACAGTACAGAAATTTTCTAATTTTGTTAGGGATGTAACTGGGGCAACTCTTTCCTTCTAATTATCCTGAAATCACAAGGTTTTAAATAACTACCTGTTACTATTGATTCCCAGTCTGTAGTTTCAGCTCTACCACTCCTCTGTGCTCCAGCCTTTGCACATCAATTTTGGCTTCTCAAATATTAACTCTAAATTTCTCATCTTATTCCAAATCAGTTCCTTCACTTATGTCCGTTCTGTGAATAGTCACCTCATTCTTTGGACTGCTCAGGCCAAGGAATCAAACTTGGACCTTCATCCTAGGTCCTACTTCATCCTTTACGTATACAGCTTTGAAATATGTGGAGAATCAAAGCACTTCTCACAACCTCCACTCTGACAACCCAAGACTGAGCTGCTGATGTCTGGATTTTCAGCCTTCTAACTTCACTGCAATAAATTGTGAATTTCCTAAAATTTAGATGTCCTGGTATAATGTTAGTAATTTCTGTATTTTTAATTCCTAATTCTCGTAATAGCAAGTGTAACAAAAACATAACAGGAGGGAAATTATTACAATGGTATTGAATATAATTTTGAAGTAGGAAATGGTCTTTAAACCAGTTTCAGAAATTTATTTTTATGTGTATAAACTTAAGTGTACCTAATGTACATGTGGATACATGTACTTTGTCAAAATAAGTCAAATTTTAATTTAGGAATGTGAGATACTGTTTGAAAATAGTGTGTTTGTAATGGAATATTATTCAGCAATCAAAAAAGATAAACTCAAATAATTTGCTGCAAAAGGATGAAGTTGGAAAGGATCATGCAGTGAAATTAGCCAGAAAGAAAAAGAAAATTACTGGATGGTTTCTCTTGGAGGAGTAATGTAGGGGACTCAAATAAGGGTTGGACTGTGTGGTAGAGTCAGTAATTGTAACAAAATAAAAACCAAAGTCAACAGGCAACTGTAAACAAGAGACATCCTTGGGGGTGGGGGGAAATTGGAACAAAACAGGATTGGGAGTTGCTCCAGGGACTAAGGAGATGGTAAACTGGTGAATTGGTGGTGGGAATTTCTTGGGGACCATACAGGAAATGATAAATAATACATTGTATGAAAATGAAGAATGGTGTAAAAAAACATAAAATTAAATGTGAAAACTAGAAAAATAAAAAATATGAACATCTTTTAAAAATTAGTGTGTTTAGACTGCTACACAGAATCGAGGCCGCGAAAATAGTCCAGTGTGTTGCACTGCGTATGTCCCGGGCGTTGGGCACCTAGTGCGGCCCAAGATGACGATGGAAGTATTGTTCTTGCTGACAACAAATGTCAGTGCGTCCGGGCTACTTCCAGGATCATCCCCTCTCCAAAAAATTCTTCTGAAGATATTGTGGAGAGAAACATCAGAATTATTGTTCCTCTGAACAGCAGGGAGAATATCTCTGATCCTACTTCACCAGTGAGAACCCAATTTGTGTACCATTTGTCGGACTTCTGTAAAAAATGTGACCCTACAGAAGTTAAGCTGGATAATCAGATATTTACTGCCTCTCAGAGCGATATCTGTGAAGAAGAAGCCGAGACCTGTTATACTTACGACAGAAACAAGTGCTACACACATAAGATCCCATTTTCCTATGGTGGTAAGACCATAATGGTGGATGCAGCCCTGACCCCGGATTCCTGCTATGCTGACTAAATAAGTCATTGCTAACTGCACAGCTGCTTACCTTTAGAGGCTCTCCATTTACATCAAAAAAGTTCATGTTTTTTACTACCAGTCAGTTTGAAACCATGATATTTTTGATAATGTAAAACATTAACCCCTGCAATAATGGAGGTAATTACTTCTCAACTATGTTTACTTCATAAATATTGAAAATTGTCACTTATTCTTGCCTGAAGAGTATAAGTCTTTAAGAATACAACTTCTAGCATTTACAAGAGGATAAGGGGAAAAAATAAAATTCAAAAAGTCAAAATTAGGAGGCATAGTAAAGTGGGGAGAAAATTTTGTTTCTTCCCATCTTTGCCTTAATATTTCTGTGAACCCACACCAAAAAGTTCTTTGTTTTTCCTTTTCTGTTTTTGGCTTTGCCTTGGAGAGCCAGAGCTTTTGCATATTTCATTCTGTTTTCAAAAAGTATTACTGTGTGGAGAAAATTTTTATGTAAACGAAGGCCACTTCTATGTCTTCATTAAATATAATAATTAGAAAACATGTTTTGAAAATATAAAAATAATTTATAAGTGATCACTAATATTTGTGAACTCTGTCAGTTGAAAATGACATAATTAAGTGTATAATGAAAAATATATTTTGACATAACACAGATTTGTTAGCCAGAGATACAGATTTTTCTTTTTTTTGGTAAACTTTATAATTGGGATAGTGAAAAAATACCCATTGGAAATCATCTATGTTGTAACTGAACCGAAACAAGTATGTATCCCAAAATATGTATTCTCTAGCACAGTTTGAATAATTAAATAGACTTATAAGCATAAAAAAAAATTAGTGTGTTTAAAAACATCAATGTGTGTCTAAAATTAACAAGCATGTGAATGTTAATATTGGGCTGTTTGCTATTTAAATTGTAAAGAGCTATAGCATTTGGCATATAGTTAAAATATTGGGATAATCTAAAAATTAAGTCACTGTAATTTTGTTTTGGCATATATATTTACTTATGAATATAGTCTTACCACTTTTAGCAGGTGTCTGGAATTTTATACATATGTATATACCATTAAGTACAAAAAAACATTTTAACATTGAGATTTAAATCACATACAGCAGTCATACAATTACTTTTTTCTATTTGGCCTACACTTGATTGTAACACAGTAGCTGTAACTAGCCCAGACTTCAGTATCACAGTCTATATGACTGAGTCCATAAGATCCCAAGGTTAAAAAAAAGAAATTAGAAACTTTGCATCCTGAGATAAAATAAAACCCGACAGCATTCAAGACATGCCCTTCAGGGTCACTGTATCTAATTCCAGTCTCCAGCTGAATGAAAACTTGAGACTAAGCCTTTCCTAGAAAATTAGAACCCCTAAAATCAAACTTCTCTTTACAATGCTAATTATCTATGTGATAATATAAAAATTGCTGTTTTCACACATGAACAAATTATAGACTCCTAGATACCTGGAAACTGTGTAGTTTTTTTCCCATTAGATTTATAATTTCTACTTAATGATCCCTTTCTTCAAAAGCCTGAACTTCTATAAACTTTCTTTACAAGCAAACTTCTAAAATTTTGTTGTCTTTGACAGCAACCACATTTTGCCAAAGTATTATTTTCACAAAGATGAAATCAAGACTCATGCAAATATAAAATGAACATGTGACAAATATTTTATTCAACTCATTTGTTACTGAGGGAACCCATAAGATGTCTTGTAATTGTTTCAAAGTGTTTGGCCCCACTGCAGGTGACATCCTGGAGCAAAGTCCAATATACTTGCTCATGATAAATTGACTGGAGTCTAGTATCTCATAAAGTGTCACAATGTCAACTTCTAAAAGGCAATCAGCTAGGAAAGTGGCAAACAGGATTTATTACTAAACAACAGAAGAACCAGGCAGAATGTTTATGGTGGTAACTGTGAACTTCTGATTCCTTTCTTGGCCCCTTTAGGTAAATCCCCCTTTCACTGCTGCAGGAAAAGTAAAGAGTGGGAGAGGACAAGATAGTATGGGTTCTGTCTTTTTCTGACTTGTGCAAGCCTGTAACTCGTTAATTCACCTAACCTCATTTACACAGGGGTTCCAGATATTTTGTTGACACACAAACAGTAGGTTCAGATGATTCTGAATAAATTCAATTAGAAAAGAAAAAAAGACATATGAACTTCAGAACAAATGTTTATTACTGCTCAATGGGGGCCGAAGGGGCAACACAAAGCATTGGAAACATCACTGGCTCACAAAACAGTCACCTTGTTACCTTTTTGGTTGCATTTAATTTATTTCACAAGGCTTCATTCACACATGAAAACAAGATACTAATTCAAGTTCATAACGATTATAAAAGTAAACATTTGTTGGGACAATGTACAATAAATTGCACTTTTCTTAACAAGCATTACATTTACATTTATAGTGTGTACTATACATAATACATGGAATTATGGAAACATCATATTGGTCAGTATTTATAGAGGGAGACTGCTTATTAATGTTTCCTTTGCAGTCAATTAGTGCTGTTGGGTTCTCCTTTATTGTAGAACCCGTTTATATTAGAAAACTCTTGGGCAAAATCATTAGAATTCATAAAAATAGATGGTACAGAATTTCCACTACCTCCTTGGCAAAAGAAAGGTAGGAGCTGCAAGAAAGGAAGTGTGGTTAACTGAGAAACTTCTTCCCTCACTTGAAATAAGGATCCATACATTATGCAAAATACCAAAAATAGAGAAACTGATGCAAAAGGCTATTGGGACATCTTGGATTCTGGGACCATCTCCAAGCTTTATTCTTGTGCTTTCATGACACCAGAGTCTTGATGTATTTATATCCTTACGATTCAGTTTCCTATATTTTATTCCATATATAATATATAGTTATCAAAATTTACATTAAATGGAAAAGAGTTTACATGTTAACTTATTGCCAATGAAAAATCAAAGTAACTTTTAATGTACATTATCTACTCAATGATTCTTTGTTCTGAGATTAAGTTTTTTCAGAATAGCACTAATGGTAAACCAGGAAAGGAGGTGAGGAGAAATGGGACATGGTAAAGGTGTTTTTACAGCACATATAAAATTAATTTGAAAATAAGCTGAGATGTAGTTCTTAGATGGAAGCACAGAAGAAGGAATGCCACCAAGCTAGTCACCAAACTAGTCATTAACATCCAGTTTTCTCATTAAAACTCAAAATTATCTCCTATTGAGGTGCAGCCCACTTTAGTACTCGCAATGGTGGTTGTGAATGACAAGCAAATTCTTAAGATAAAAGGCTTGCCTATATTATATGGAAGCCACTATAGGAAAGGATGTTTTAGTGTGGTTCTATCAATATTCAATGCGGCCATCAGCCTGGTGACCAGGAGCATTTATCTATGTTGGAAGGAAACGCAGGGCATCAAGCTGTCATCGGGCTTAATTTCTAGCTTAATCACCATGTGAGTATTCAATACCTGCTTTACAGAAGAGGCAGGAAAGTCCTATATGACTCCACCAACCACACACACGCACACACGCACACTCCTAACAGTGTTCACATCACAACAGACTTTGTCTAGTCTGATTTACTTGTAATTGAGGCAAAAGAATCAGAGCTATTTCAGAAGTGCCTTTTGTTTTTAAGGGATAAGTTACACACTAGAATGATCTTGCTTTACGATAAAACAAACATAAGCCATATAAAACAAATAAGGTATTTAAATTTGTTAAAAGTTCCTTTCATCATAAAAGAGGTCCTGAACTCAGCTGCCTTAGTAAATTAGTAGACTGACTTCAGCTAAAGAAAAAGAAAACTCAATCCCTCACATTAGTTATATATGTGATTCTCATCCTGGGAATGATCAACTCCTTTAAGGGTTTAACTCTTATCTCTTATGCCCCAAACTGCATATATTCTCTTAGTTTTAACACTTTAGCGAAGAAATGCTTTTTGAGAAAATGGAGTATGACTTGAGAAAAATAAATAACACACAGTTTGAATGAAATTTTGAAAAAATAAAACAAGATAAATACTATTAAATAGCCCAACAACAGCACAAAGACTACTTTTCCACTTTACTAGGGAAATTTAAGAAAACCAGTGAAGAAGAAATTGTTAACTGAACAGCTAGGAGAGGGTAAAAGAGATAGGCCATAGGTCTGTATGACATTCCTGTTCACGTTTCTGATAGGCACTCATATAAAGAACATCAGGTAACTGAGAATTTATTTGCACTCAATTATACATAACTAAATATAACCAAATTGTGTCATGCCTCAGGACGTGAGGAGCTAGCAATCATATGCACTGCAAAATACAGCTTGGCTTCTTTCAGCTCTAAATAATGTGTTAAACAAGATTCTCAATAAATAAAAGATAATGTACTGAATTATCAAGCTAAATCTCATCCCTTTATGGTGCAGAAGTCAGTGAAAAATCACCACATTTTAGAATGTGGCAAATGGTGGATTTCTTGAGGAATACTGTATATAATGTATCCTAAAATGAAAAGCACTCTAAAATATTTGAAAATTTCCTGGATATTTGGGCTGGTTGATCTCTTTCTAATGAAATTCAAGACAAGAATAGAAATTCTCAAATACATTTTAGAGTAAGTAACATTAAAGCTAGCAGTTGCATTTCAATGCTAGAATATATGAGTTTCAAGCAAACATGGGGAAGGATTTATGGCTTGGGACAGTGTTATTATATGAATAATCATATTATACACCAAATTTTGACTTTTCTATCTTTCCTGTTACTACTGACCCAGAGGCCTTGCTCTGAGGGACAATTTAGATCTACGGTGCCAGTTCAAAGTATAACATGGAACTGGGGAAGACACAAAATCTGTAGTCTGCCACTATGATCTTTTCAAAGAATTTAAAGAAAAGACAAAATACAGACTTATCAACTGTTTGGAATATATGCACCTGTGATTCTGTTTAAAGAAAAACTGTTTAAATTTTGTTTACAGAAAAAGGGACTAAGAAATGAAGCCAAGTGCCCAGGCATGTACACCCAGCTAGCACCATTCTATTTCTCTCTCAACTTCCATTTACGAAAAACTGCAACTTAGGCATAATTTATGGAAATTAAAAAGTGTAGAAGGGGGCAGTGACACTATGAGATTCACAAACACAAAAAGAACATCTTTAATTTAGTTGGCCTGTTGGTAAGGCAACTGTACAAGGCTTCTCGGAATCAAAGCTTAAAGTACCAGTAAAGCTAACACTATGACTGAATGAGTTACAGAAACAAATATCAAGATGCAATTTTCT